TAAAAAACGCCCGTAATTAGGCCTAGCTCTGAAAAAGGCCACTGAACGAGCATCACTAATTATATAAACGAATAGGCCACGCAGCGTTGACGAGGTTAACCACCGGTCACGAATTAAATTCAATGCAGCTACTGTCGGCCCACAGTGAAGAAAAAATCAATATACTAATAAAATTACTAATACAAAAATAATTTCCATAATTTTACTTTTTCTGCACACGCTAAAATTGAATTATAATTAAAATACTAGACTTAACAGTTCATTCCGCAAAAAACAAAAACGAGTTGTTTCTGTGAGGTAACTAGCGTAACAATGACGTCACGATAGTAAACAAAGCGGACAGAAATGTCTGCATGGGTACCTCATATGGAAATTCGATATAAAAAAGGCGAATCAACATAACTGTAATTACTCATTATAAATATCTCAATTATATATTTTTGCATTTGTACCAGGGGGTTTCGACCATGTACTGGGCCGTTTAAGGCGGCAGTTCAGTTTTTCCCAAGAGTACTTGACAAGAATAGCGTGTATTAATTAAAACCACACATCTGGCGATTTTTTCGGTTATTTTCAGGCATGGCGACCATTTATTTAGCATATCGCATTAAAATAATGATGAGAATTTGCGATATTAGCAGTTTTTTTCATTTGTCGTGGATAGGACCCCTAAAATAAACGTAAAAACCGTCAAAAAACGACGCGTGACGTTTCAGGGTCAGAGGTCAATCCAGCCATATAAGCAACAATCCGGCCTACTAACTACAGTTTGAGTTTAGCATAATAACTACTAGACTAGTTATTATTTTAATAATACTACTACTAGACTAGATCTACTAGTTATAGATCTAGTTATTAGAGTCTAAGAAAGACGTAGAATCTAGAAAAGAAACGAGATCTACAAATCTAGATCTAGATTTACTGATTTAGATCTGGATGACTAAAGAGATCTTGAATGAAAGGAATAAATATTTATTAAATATAAAAAACATTTAGATTAGCTTCCCTTGAGATTGAGTAGCTTCCCCTTATTTTTATTTATTTTTTTTTAATTCTTTTTTTCCAAAAAAATAGAAATTTTAAAAATAATTTTACTCGACAACATTACAAATGCATGTAGGGGGGGGGGGTTACATAATTATGTCCCCGGGCGCCGACCCTAGGGGCGCCAAAATGGGTTGTGGAAAAAATTAAAAGCTCATTTTAGCTGTAGTTTTGAATTATAAATAATATATGGGGGGGGGGGGGGGGGGCGCCAAATTGAAAGTTTGTCCTCGTGCGCTGGGAGGGGCCGCTACGCCTTTGATTTATGGTCTAGTAAAGTCGAACTTAGATGATTTGCTGTTTTTAATTTGTATAATCCGGATGGTTTATTAGTTAAACGATCTATTAAGGAAAAAAATGAACGTTGATTTCTCAGTATAATTGGCAAGTCACTCTCCCAGCCCCACCCATCTTTCTGCAATATGGCTTCAACTGTGTGAATATGCTGTTTATCTTTAGTCAGTTACTGATCTAACTGCAAATAACATCATTGTTTAAATTTGCATTCCAAATAGTAGTTAAAATAAACAGATTTGTAGGCCATTTGAATTTCATCAAGCTATTAAAAAATGTTAATATAAGTGTAAACATAAGAATAAAGAAAATCAGCGTTTTAATTGCTTGTTAGTCATTGTTACCATCATCAATGATGACAGCACATCTTTTTCTGGTGGCGAACCCTCCCCCCCCCCCCCCGATAATATACAATTTAAAAAATATTTTTCTAAGGTAAAAAAACAAAACAAAAATAAGTACTATTTTATGTTATTTTAAAGTATGTTTAATAATTAATTTAACACGATGGTTGAAATTCCTTGTTATTGTAAAGTAAAAGTAAAGTTCCCTTTTCAAACCTGACGGTCTACGGGGCAAGTGAAGTAGAGTTCACTTGTTTCTGTGACCTCGGCATATGAAGAGATAGTGTGGTCAGCTCTATGCCCAACTGCCTTTACTTTCCCTAACGTGAGTTAGGTACCCGTTAGAGTTGGGTGGACTCAGGGACTGTGTACTGACTTGAACCCGGATTCGAACTCGGGACTTACGGGTTAGCAGTCCAGCTCTCTACCGCTAGACCACTCCGTCCCATTCCATGTTATTGACCACCCTTAAAATTCGTGGATGAGTTTTTTATATAGCCAGCTTCAAAATTATGACATTCTCGACATATTTTTTTTTAATTTATGTTGCTTTGATGAAATGCACACTCATAGAGATTTGTATGGAGACACAAAACTAAAACTCAGAAGGCTAGCATCGTCATTTATTGGAATGAATGATACAACATCATGCTTGTGTGAGCAATTGTTCTTTAAACTAGTTACTGATTAAGGAACCGCTTCGAAAATTTAAAAACAAATCATTTGGTAATTTATCTTGTTTGCTGGCTATATCAATGTATGCAGAGAATGGTTTTCGTGTAGGCCTACATTTCTTTCCTCAGATCCAGAGTTTCTTCCAGGCATGTCTTCGTCTACCGCCCCCCGAACGAAATGGAATTTATATATTTGTATATAGAAAATATATACTTTTAACAGTGTCCGCCCCCCCCCCGAAGAAAGTCTACCCCCCCCCCCCGAAAATTTCCAGTGCCCCCCCCCCCCCCCCCTGAGAAAAAAAGTCTGGAAGAAACACTGCTCAGCTCAGGGTAGAAATTATCGAGAATTTTTTCCCCCCAGAGATTCGAAATGCACTGGTATTTCCATTTCAAATTTTCAGTTATTTCACCTTCAGATTCCTCTACCACGCTGCATTTGGTTTCTCAAACATGGCAATGGTTTCAAGATTATTTTTTTTCCGCCAGACTTTTTCTTTTATACATTTTTCTCCTGGGGGGGGGGGGGAGTTGAAACTTTACAGGGGGGGGGGAACACTGGTTCTGTTTGAAGTATATACATTGTATATAGACGTTCTTCTGGGACGGTGCCCCCCCCCCAAGATATGCCTAAAAGAAACTCTGACGTCATGTTACACTGCAAGTACGGGAATACCTTGATTTCAAATCTTTAAAGACGCCATACTCACTAGTCTTCATCCTGACTAGCTACATACTGAATTGTATAAAAGAAGAAACTTTTAATCAGGATCCAAGTCTTTTCTTAATTTTTTAAAAGACTGGCGTACAAACTCCGCATCAGGTGTAATTAACATTTTTAAAAATAAACTAATCAAGATGCAAAATGTATCCAATAGATCAGGGGTCTCCAAACTACGGCCCGCGGGCCGGTTGCGGCCCGCGTAGTCCCCTCATCCGGCCCGCGGAGATCTTTTTGTCCAAGGAAAATCGTTTGTTGGTGATGGCTGAGGAACTTTGCCCAGAAAAATAAAAAACATGCCTAGAAAAAACTGCCCCCCCCCCCCCGAACTGAAATTTGATAGTTAATGCGGCCCTCGGACTGAAAAGTTTGGAGAACCCTGCAATAGATAGTACAGTGACCCACGCTTTTCTTTATAGTTATTTAAACAGTAGGGATTATTATAATTATTATATATTTAAAGAAAATAATTTATTTTCGCATTTTTTAGTGCAGTATTACATCAAAGCTTGTTATCAAAACGTTTTTATGCATTTTTTTTCTGAAAGCCCGATTTAGACACAAGCACAATTTATAGGAACCCCTACCGACGTTTCCCATTTTGATTATCCAGCGTCAATAATTATAATATCTTCACTTTTTAGTAGTTTCAAGTGCATTACAAATCAGAATTGATATAATCTGAATTAATGTAATGTATTTCACGAAGACAAACTGCTAACATGAGCTAAATGTCTGTTGATTTAATAACTTGAAAAAAAAATCAATGGTGAAATTAGGTTAGGTTAGGTTTGCCTGTCGTCCCTACTGGGACATAGGCCGCTGACAAGAGCTTTCCAGACGTCTCTGTCCTGGGCTAGTCTCTCCAACTGTCCCCAGGTGTATCCAATCTTCTCGGTGTCTTTTTCCAGGTCACGTCTCCAGGTCTTTCTTGGTCTGCCTCTCCTCCTCCTGCCTTGTGGATTCCAGGTGAGGGCCTGCCTTGTTATGCTGGATACAGGCTTCCTGAGTGTGTGGCCAATCCATTTCCATTTTCTCTGGAGGATCTCTACTTCAGCTGGCAGCTGCTTTGTCCGTTGCCATAGAATATCATTTCTGATGGTTTTAGACCAGCGAATTCGCAGAATCTTTCTGGGGCATGCGTTTATAAATGATTGTATTTTCTTCTTATTTAAAGCAGTTATTCTCCATGTCTCAGCTCCATAGAGTAAAACAGGTTTTACTGGTGTGTTGGTGATCCGGGTTTTTATTCCAAGGGTTAAATCTCCAGAACCCCAAACAAGTGAAATTGGGTGTCAACATTTAACATCCACTGAAATATCTGATAGATCTATACCCCGCTGAATAGTATTATTAGACAAAGATATTCGCTTTATCTTTTCTTCACCGGAATTTGTAAGAACTAATTTCACTATCTTCAACATTAGCCTAACATTTTAAAAAAATCTTTGTTCAATCAAGCAAGTATCTGAGTAACTGACATTTAAGCTTTTAATATTTCATAAACTCACGACTGACAATAATTTTGCACATTACGCATTGCTTCTCTATTATCTCTATTCCATCGCTAGTCAAGCTAGTAAAGTTGAATTTTAAAAACAAATTACTGTTTTTGAGCGTCCCTTCAGAAAAACCCTTGTCGCGAACCGATGCTCTACCCTACATCATAACAGAGCAGATAATGGCAGATAGTCACCGCTTTTCTTTTTGTATACGATGCAAAAATAAATTATCTGGTAGACTAGGCTTTCGTGAAAAGAATATTGAAACAATTAGATCTAGATCTAGATCTATTCTAGATCTATCTAAATCTATTCTAGATCTATCTAAATCTATTCTAGATCTATAATCTAGATCTATATTGAAACGTGAAGGTTTGCAACCAAACAGTATCAGTATCTGGCAAGTTTTCAAGGTAGACAATCCACTTCTGTTGATAAGTGAGTCCATGGGTTGGATTTGGGTCGTACGATATTTTTAACTTGGTCTATTTGTGATCGGATGATTATCTCGAAATGTCCATCAAGTAAGTACTGTTTTTATTTATTTGTACTTTAAAAAACCCTAGGCTTATGTTTTTAAAAACTGATCTTTAATAGTGAAGTAAGCTAGGCCCCTCAATAAACAAACACTACAACTTGAACTTCTAACAGTGTTGATGAGAGGCAGAGGCAGAGGACTCTGAGGAGTGTGTTGTTTTATTAAATTTTATTTATTTATTTTGTTGAGTCGACTCTCTGTGACTGTAGTAGTAGATCTAGTACTGTAGTGTAACTGTAGTAGTAGTGGGTAAAACTCCATTTTAGCGTATTTTATTCCCCGCTTGACTTTCACCTCCAGTTGAGCGTATTTTATTGTAAACACAACCGATACACACAAAAACGTTAGGAAAACACAGATCTACTTTTTTTTTTTTTATAAATGCGATTTTTTATTAGAAAAGGTAAAAAAACCCATAAAAAAGCATTAGAACTGTTCCAATTAACTATCGTGTGATCGTCAGCGGGAGAAAAATCCTTACACGCCTTACACGGTCGCGGGTTCACAGTGAGTTCACATTGACTTTAATTATCAGTTATCAGCATATGTCATAGCTCAAGCAATAGCTGTTTGAAATTGTGTTGGCCTTAGTTTTGGGTCATTGTAAGTTCATTAATGTTTATTTATAGTATCATGCCTGGGAGATACTTGTAACAGTACAAACTTAACCGCCTTGAGTTACGTTTTTACGTATTTCACCCATTGCCATGAAAATTCTGACGCACGAACATTGCACATTCAATATTCTAAATTTGGATTTTTCTCAACTTTTAACAAAAGTAAATTATCCAAATCTAAAAAAAAGTCAGTCTCTTTGTTTTTTTTAAATTCATTTTTATTCATTTGTTAAAACAAAAATACAATACAAATAATAAATCGTGATTTCCTAATGTTTTGGTGTGTTTTGGTTGTTATAATAAAATACGCTCAACTGGAGGTAAACAAGAAGCTGAGAATAAATACGCTAAAATGGAGTTTTACCGTAGTAGTAGTAGTAGTGTTACTTACTAGATATAGATTAGATCTAGATCTCTAGGCCTAGATTAGTAGATTAATTAATAACCCTAGATCTAAATAAAATCGTACAAAGTGACTACTCGGAAGAAGCTTCTTACCCCTCACTAATTAATTACAAAGTGACTACTCGGAAGAAGATTTGGTAATCTATCGTTTTAGGTACGTAAAATCGCCAGCGACTAGTAATGTACAAAAAAGTTAACTCATTGTCAAGGCTTTAATAGAAGTATATTGTGATATATTTGTGTCAAATATTACAGATAAATGAATAAAAAACCTAAATCAATGGCTAAATATATCAATATAGGCAAGAAATTATCTTTAAACAGCAGTGTTTTTAAGCAGGATTTGCCAGTGGCGTAGGCAGGGGGGGGTTAGGGGGGGTTATAACCCCCCCCATGGACCCCCAAAATGACTAATTTTTTACGTTAAGCTATAGCTATTGACTTGTGTCAATATTATTTAGGGCTTAAACACTAAACACTTAAGCCTGGCAGCCTCTAGAACAATAATGTATATCATTGTGATGAGAATTGCCTGTAGAATTTAGTTATGAATTTTATTATCTCGCTAAAGTAAAAAATAATAATCTGGAACGCAGTAGGCCAAGGGAAAGTTGGCCAAGGTTAGATCAGTTAAGGAGTGTCGAAAGGGAGGGGTGGGCTACGTGGGTAGGCCTTTGTTGTTTAATATGATTGTAGTGCAATAGGAAAGCGTCTAGAAATGAAAAACAAACAAAGGAATTGATTATTATTCGCATTGAGGTTCTATAATGTGTATGTTTTTACTACTTCAAACCATTTGAAATTCATTTCACTTAATTTTTTAAAAAGATAAGTAAACTGAAAATGATAAAGATGGCAGAGGGAGGAGTAGGCAGGGGTGAGGGGAGGGGGGGGGGGGGTTAGAACCTTCAAAATGACAATCCTTTACGTTAAGTTACAGCTATTGACGACGATGGACTTGTGTCGCTATCATTCAGTGCTTAAACAACAAACACTCAGGGTCGCAATAGGCGAAGGGAAAGCTGAACAAGGTTATCAGTTAAGGGGTGTAAAAGGGGGTGAGGGTGGGATGAATATTGGTACGTATCAATTATAAAATACTACCGGATGCACATCTGGCAGGAAGGCGTGGGCTTGACACACAATTGTTGACACAAAACTTTGTGTTGGTAGGTTATATAAAAAAAACTGCGTATTTGGTTAAATATAGATGTAAAGCCAGGAACCTACAGTAGTCAATTTAGACAGAATAGAAGACCAATAATAATTTGCTTTCTTCTTCGTATAGTCGTGTTTTAATGTGTATCTTTTAACTACTTCAAGCAATTTAAATTCATTTTAATGATGGCGGAAGGAAAAAGGAAATTAAAAACTACTTTATTAACTGATTTCTTTACAAAGAAAAGTAAAACTGAAAATTATAAAGTGAAGATGGTACTATTGCTTTTCAAAGTACATTACATTAAGAAATGTCCATAAATTCAGCACCTTCGACTGTTTCTTACGCAAATGATATCGGCAATTTTATCAAAGGAGTTATAACAGACGATACACGGTTGTATTTATTAGAAAACATCTGGCGTCCTGATAAACTTTTAAAATTTCCAGCAAGCGGACAAAGAAATTTAAAGTTTCAATATTTGTGGCTACTTAGGTGGAACTGGTTGACTTATTCCAAATTACTTGATGGCGCATTTTGCAAATATTGTGTTTTGATTAGTTTGAATTATCGTGGTGTAGGTAGTCAGCCTATGGATAAGCTATCAAAAATTTCATTTTCAAACTGGAAAAAGGCAACAGACAAGTTTAATGAGCACCAGCAATGTGAGTATCATAAAAGAGCAATTTTACTTTCCCAAAATCGTAAATCGGTGATGGAGAAAAAAATTTAACTTATTAAAATCTCCTTAAATTTATCATAAGTCAACAAATTCAAGAAAATCGTTTAAGATTAGCGCCCATAATAGAATCTATAATATTTTGCGGCCGACAAGGAAATTTTTAGTTGGAGAAAACTGCTGAAAATGATGGAAATTTGATTTTTATAATTTTTTACGATAGTGTACATGTGTTACTTGTTACAAAACAATAGCTAATACTAAGATAAGTTAGTCGGTGGCACCCACGAGTTTCTATTGTCACCAGCCACCAATACTTTACACGCACGCACTTACACATACATATGTACACACACACACACACACACATATATATATATATATATATATATATATATATATATATATATATATATATATATATATATATATATATATATATATATAATGCTGGAAAAAATTTGAACCCCCCCCATGAGACGATCCTGGCTACGCCACTGGGATTTGCTATATAAAAAGCGGTCATCTGTAAGTTAGAGTGGCTTCCCCTGAATCTTGTGCTATAAGTTTACTATAAAAAAAAATAAACAAGATGGCTGCTATAGTAAATGAGCATGGTTGCATCTGTTGTAAACATCGCTAGTCTTCATTTATTACTGAAAAGTTTTATTTCAATTGTTTAAAAACAGGTACATAAATGAAACAATGGAACATTTTTGTATTTTTCAAAACATAAATCCTCCTCAAAATGTGAAATAATTATAAAATTTAAGGAGTCACCTGTTTTTCACATTACTAGTCGCGGGTGATTTTACGTACCTAAAACGATAGATTACCGAAGATTTTTCTCCCCAACGTCTCCACTTGGTCGGCAAAAGATACCTCTGCGCATGCGCAGTGACCTATGGCTAGGGTTAGGGCTAGAATTAGGGTTAGGTTTAGGGATAGGATTAGGGTTGGTTTTAGGTTTCTGCAGTTGTAAACACACGCATGCGCAGTACCATCGAAAACATCGCCGTGATGGCAAGTCGTAGTTCTCTCCATTGCGCATGCGTATCTTATTCCGGCTAGCATTGACCAATTAATTAAGCAAAAGGGCTAAGAAGTAGGCACTTTTGATTCACAGCACTCAACGAAGTTTGTTAATATTTTTGATATCCTGCGAGACCCAGGACCCAGTCAGTTATGATCGCACTTCCCGTCATTTCTTCATCCTTTCCATACTTGACTATAAATTAAATAGCAATTTTATAGCCCTTGATAATGCGCTGTAATCGGGACAGTCTTTATTTTATATGTTTGAAGGAAATAACCATGTTTAAAATGAAAGAATGGTACTGGCAACCCATTCCATTTGGAGCCTACATCAAGATATAAAACTATTATAATATACGTGTGCAGAAAATAACAACTTTGTTATAGAAGGGGATAAAGCAAGGCTCCCAACTTCATCATTTTAATCTATTAGTATTAGGCCTACGTTATTTTCGTTATCATAATAAGTTGATGTAAAACTGATATTTATTTAAAATTTGATCATCCTGTGAATAGTGTAGTGTTTGTTGTTCTGATTAGAATAATTATTAAAATTAAAGACTAAGCTTAGTGAAGATTTATCTTTGAATTCTCTTTATATAGGGCCTAAATGATAATTTTATCGGCCTTAAACAGTAATCCTTAGGCCTATATCAATATGTTAAATTGTTTCTAATAGAGATTTAACAAATAATTTTAAATAAAACAATGTTGCCATTGGTTTTTAAAAACTAATACTATTGATTAGGATTCCAAACTGTCATGTCGAAGGGGTGTCCAGGAACATGTTGGGTCTACTAGCATCTATGTTGTTATAAAATATGTGAGTGATGGTGGGTAAAAGGTGTCTTGCTATAAATATGTTCACAGCCCCTTAGTCTCTATGATTTATTATTAGCATTAGGCCTATTGATATTGCATGTGTGTCAACTCCACCACTGCCAGCATTTAAATAATGAAAGTAGCCTACATAATATATTAGTTTTCACTGACTAGAAAGTGAGCATAACTTGCCTGTGATCCTATAAATCAAGACTAGCAAGATATCAATTTTATTTATATTCTAGACATTCTATCTACTGGATTAGTATAATTAGTTTGAATACTACAAAATTTAATATTAACTTTGGCATTCTTTTTAGAATAGTAATAAAGTAATGTTTCATCGTAATTGATTTAGAACACATCTCCTTCATCAATGCAAAATTGTGGCAAGGAATATCTGGTTCTTTCAAAATTATATTATTGCTCTAGACACTCTCTTAAATAAGTAAGCGAAGTTTGATGGCTACTACTCTAATATTGATGAAGTGACATTCCTTAAAACCTTGATTAGTTGTGTGGAATATAAAGTTACTATTTAAGATGGTTACAGGACATTACCCCCCCCCCCCCCCCCCCCATCAATTACCCCCTGGACATTTCCCCCCATATTCACCCCCTCCCCCAAGTTAGAATCCTAACTCTAACTCAAATTATATATCTATGTATTACATTAATACTAACCTCAGCATCCACCTCAGCCTAAAACTTATCACAAAACCAAAACCAACATTAGACATTGGTTTAAGCCTAACCCTAGCCATAGCCCTAACCCTAGCCATAGTCCCAGCCCTAACTCTAACCCTGTCTGGGGGGGGGGTAATGTCCTTCTGGGCAGGGGGGGGGGGTAATGCCCTGTTCCCATTTAAGATAGGCTACATAACCTCATCGTGTTTTTCTTAACCCCTGATAAAAAAAGTCTAAATTTAAATAAATTAAATACTGTGTTTAAGAACATATTAAGGGTTGTTCATATAAAGTTTGAATGTAAAACATCAACAGTCAAACACAGCAGGCTGTTTAAAAGTGAGGCCTTAGATCTAGAAATTTTAAAAATTCACACAAAAATACTACTTGGGCTAAAGTAATAATTTTTGCTGTTAAGTTTTAGTGAAGACATGTTCCTTTGAACCATTTAATAATTTGTATTAAATACTCATTATGAATTTTTTATCAAAATACCTAAGCTAGTCTGGCTGGAAAAAGATGCACAATGCAAAAATAGCTGCACAAGAGGCTCAAATTACCCTTAACACTATTAATAACTGCGCAATGGGCTCAAATTATCCTTTTATAGTTTTGCAATGGGATCTAATTACACTTTTAGTGTAATACATCTGACAAAACAATCTGTACCCTGTGTTCGAGCAGTTGTGCTTTAGGCAGGTGGTCACAGGTTTTTAAGGTTATTGGTATAGTTATGTAATGCCTAGTAAAGAGTTCTAGACTATAAATTAAGTATAACATATTTAAAAAAAATCTATTTCAATAGCCTATTTATTTAAATCTACTATTTAAGTATATATGGTGTTAATCCCTGGTCCAACAAGACAACACATAATCCTCAACAACGAACATATAGATGACAAGAAAAGCCAGGTCATTTTAGCTGTATGCGCATGCACTTCTTCTTCCTGCTAGAATCTGCCAAAATAGTAGGCCTAGATATTACTATTAGGCCTAGATAATCATTTAATTTAGGACAAATTTTAGAATAATAATATTTATAATAGGCCATAATACTAAAATTATCCCTAATATAAACTAATATTTATTTAGAATTAACCCGATCAGTCTTGCTTGAGGCTTAAAGTACATCTTTGAGAAATTTAATTTTTAATTAATGATTTCGAGGAATATTTTAGGCCCTATTATTTAGGACCTATTTTGTATTTTTAGATAGAAGTGTCCCTTTTTGACTGTGAATGCCTTGCAGAGCAATATCTTGTATGAGCTTCAAGCAACTAGTCATTTTATGTAGGGGATGTGTCATACACCTCTGTGAATGCACATATTTCCAGCTATTTTTTCATTTCTCACCCTTTCCAAGCTATTCATGTATTCCAACTACCTATTTTACTTGCTATTTTGGGGTTTAAGGGGCCCAGTTTAGGTTTCTGGGTTTGGTTGTGACGGTGTCCACTTCTGTGTTACATTTATCATTTGCTTCCATCATTACTCCAATTGTATAGATCTGCTCCACTTTTTAAATTTTAATCTTTTTTATTTGGTGTTGTAATGTTTTTTAAAAAAAATGAAATAATGTTGCTGGCCTTGTGTTTAATCCTGACCTAAGTTTTGACAACTTAGAAAACAGTTGGTTATGAAGGCTGGGCACATAAAAAAAATTCACTTTTTGTTTTTGTTTTATGACAAATTTTGAACAAAATTGACATTTTGTGTTTTTAAAACTAACAGAATGTCAAATTAACCTATACGCTCACGAAAAAATTCAACGTACAATTATAATTAATATTACTATTTATTACTTTTATTTTTAGATAGACATGAATTTTAAAAATGGAAAAAATTATTTTTATTGAAGTAGTTCTAAGCCTCTTTTTTATTATAATATATTGGTACCACATGTTTATGGGAGTTGAAGTAATTATACACATTTATTTGGCAAAATTTAGGTATCAATGCCACATTTTAACAATTTAGTAGAAATAAAGTTTAATAAGTTAATGAAATTTACTTACTTTTAATAAGTTACCTCACATGAAATTAATCTAGCGACAATGTTGAAAAAATACTTAAAGTAATTCATAAATTTCTTTATTTTAATGTGTTTAAGACTTTTTGCATGTATAATTTATTTATTAATATAATTTATTTATTCATTGAAACATTTTCTTAAGAGTATCATATCTGTTTTCAAAAATGTAATAAAATTTGGACTACCAAAACAAGAAAATTAAGTATTAAGTGAAAAAAGTACCTTTTTTTTACAGGGCATATGAAGCAAAGTTAATTTAGTCTGTGGTATTTATCTATGTTATCCAATATCCAGTCTAATACGTGGGTATTTTTTAACCCATGCTGGATAACTATGACAGCTTTTTTTTTTTAACAAAACACTCCCTACTATTGAAGATGCAATTAATGGAATTAGAAGTATACACTAAAATTATTACACACAAGCTTAAAATAACATTTCCAGTCATTGTGGTTTTGAAGAAGTGTAGAGCAAATCTTAAGTAATCATTTGCTTCAAAAAGAAGGCTACTAAGTTTATATTGCAAGAGGGATTACCACTTCTTTATACATGGATTAACATATTTTAAAGGCTTTGTTTATTATAAGTTGCTTGGAGGTATTTTAATATTGGCAATCACATTTTTGCAATAGCATATTGATTAAAATTTTGCAGAAGATATTAATGAATAACGGTTATTTTTTTCAGATTTTAAAACTCATTACTTTGATTACGATTACTGGCTTGTTATGTTTTGTTTTTAGTTGCTTTAAAACATTATTTAGGCTAGCTAAGTTCATTGACAACTTTGGATGTAAAGTGTTCAGATCTCATGGTTCACTAAATACAACTATCACAAATACTTTTGCCAGCAATAACCTAATGACCTACATTTACTTTTCTTTTATTAGTTGCATTGATTTTTTTCTTAGACTTAGACAAGGCTAATAAGTATTTCAACCTTGTGTTCAACCACAGCTAGTTATTACTTGATTTAAAAAGCAACTTATAGAACAATATCAATAAGTGCATATTGCTTGGTTTAATTATAATTTCTTAAAAATATTCTTAAAACTGTCATATAACTGTCAAAAAATATCTATGCACTTGTATTAATTATCAACTGCTCTATGAAAAATCACTACAATTATATTTCTATTTGATTTTTTTTTCAGCTTGAGTTTGTCAAAAATGTAACTTTTTAAATAGACCATTTGATTTATAATTACTACTATTAGTATTATAAACATTCCCACTATGGATTACGCTACAATGAATGGGAGCTCTTCTGACCTGAGTGTAGAAGAGGAGTGTCCTCCAACTGATACTAAAGGTGCTGGTGATGGCAATGTAGTCAATGGGCATAGGAATGGAAGTCCTGACTCATTTTGTGATATACCTGGTCGACCAAGTGAGTACAATTATAAAGTATAAGCCACAGTGTTTTTTAAAAATTGTAATCACTTCTCTGATGTCTAGTTGGATTATAAAATTTCTTTTGTATTTTTAATTACCTTATTACAATTATTATAGTCTTTCCTTTGGGGGTCTTACAGAACAAAAGCCGCTATCGGAATTTGTCACCCTCCTCAGTCCCTTACCAGTCATCTTAGTTTTCCCCTATTTTTTTTAGCCTCACCCAGAAGGTTGCATCATTATTTTTTTTCACTGTCCAATAGTTATTTGCCCATTCTTATTAAACATCCATATGACTAGAACAAACGTGTATGCACTTAGTCAGACATAAACTTCATTTTTTACATTGTGTTTTAATTTTTTAAATATATTTATCTCATGACCCAGCTATTTTTGTTTTGTTTTAGAACCCCTGCTAAGGTTAAAATTGTAACATAATCTTGTAAAAACTAGTTGAGGTATATAAATTGCAATATTATTTCAGTGTATCATTACAAAGCTTGTTAGGACATACTTAACATTTCTTAATTTTATTACCTATGTCTACAGCTATGCCACTCTTTGGTATGGACATTGGAGGGACCCTTACAAAGCTAGTGTACTTTGAACCAACAAATTTTGATGAATTTGAATTTACAGAAAGAAAAACTTTAGAAACTATACACAGATATTTAATTGGCAATACAGCCTATGGCAAGACTGGTATCAGGGATGTGCATCTTGAAATGGAAAATCAAACAATATGTGGTCGTAGGGGTAAAATCCATTTTATTAGATTCCCTACTTCTCAGATGCCAGCATTTATTGATTTAGCAAAGCTCAAAAACTTCTCTGGGTTGGCTAGTGGAATCTGTGCTACAGGAGGTGGTGCTTATATGTTTGAAAAAGTTTTTGCTGAAGTAAGTTACATTTTAAAATTATTTAATTTAAGATTTCTAGAACTTTTTAAAAATCTTAATTATTACACTGTACAGATACATATAATTTATCATGTAGGGCCTATACTAAATATATTTTATTATATTGATTATGCACATTCAGGTAAAATGTTAATAAAAATGATTGGGAGGTAATACACACAATTGGCTTTGGCCCAAGTTCTGGATATGTTCAAACATTGAAATAATTAATAACTTTTTAAATCAATCAGTTACACTAGTAAAACATTGCATTCAGAAAATGTTCATTACACTTCCTAATGGTTTCCAAGAATTGTTTCATGTACAGTTAAGTTCATTGCAATTACAGTTTATATTTTTATTCTTAGGAAGTGTTGCTTCAGCTCCACAAGTATGATGAGCTAGATTGTTTGCTGAAAGGAATTCACTATATTGATCGGCACAACCCTCACTGTGAATGTTATTACTATAGCAACCCACTTGATGTGGATAACTGTATAAAAAAGCCATTTAATTTTAGGAATCCATACCCCTACCTTGTTGTGAATATTGGGTCAGGAGTTAGCATTCTGTCAGTGCGCTCAAAAACAGACTACAACAGAGTGAGTGGGACCAGGTAACAATTAGGTTTATTTTTTCTAATTTAAGTTTACTAAGTTTATTATGATACACATCTTCCCCATATATCTTATATCATACTGGGAACATTTTTCAGAAGATTGCATTCTAATTAAATATTTAATTTTAATTTTTTTTTAAAAATATGCCATTAACAGCATTTACATAGTTCAGGTTAGAGATAGTGTTTGGTGTCATGTGGCTTCTGTTAATGAAAAGATGTTACATTTTTTAAAAACTGTTTGAACTGAGGAGTATTTAAATTCACAGTTTAGGTGGAGGAACATTTCTTGGACTCTGTTGTCTGTTAACTGGTTGTGAAACATTTGAAGAAGCTGTTGATTTGGCATCTCAGGGTGACAGCAGGAACATTGATAAACTGGTGAAAGATATTTATGGGGGTGATTATGAAAAGTTTGGACTAAAGGGTGATGCAGTTGCTTGCAGGTAATAAGATTTAAAGCTCATGTTGTGATTTGTGTTATTATTCTATAAAAAATGTGTTCACTTAACAAATTTCTATCATAAGTGATGACAATTAAATTAAATAAATATTAGGGAAATAAAAATATTTGTAAGTTCTGAATATTTTGATGAGTAGCTTATTAGATTTGGTAAAAAAACTACTTTTTGTTAACTATAGTTATTTACAGTGCTGTGGTTCTTTCAGCTTTGGGCAGATGATTAGCCAAGAAAAAAGAAAATCTGCTAAAAAAGAAGACTTAGCGAGGGCAATACTTGTTACATTAACAAATAATATTGGCTCTATTGCTCGTATGTGTGCAAAAACAGAGGTAACAATCACCACATTTGATAATAATTAAATTTTGATGAAAGCTTTCTTAATTAAATATGTTTGAGATATTATTATCTATATATTTTTAATTACCACAGAAAATTGACAAAGTTGTGTTTGTGGGGAATTTCCTGAGAGTAAATGAAATCTCTATGAAGCTGCTTGCCTATGCAATGGACTTTTGGTCCAAGGGCTCCCTTAAAGCTCTCTTCCTTGAACACGAGGTTAGTTTTGTGAGACAATTTCATTACAGCAACTGTGTACTGTTTTAACCAACTATTGCAGGGATCGGCCTGGTCCAGTTGGTAAAACTCATGGTTGCTAAACCGAAAAGATTCGAGTTCAAACCCTTGGGCTGGTGAGGCTCGATAACTGGGTACAGCAACTCTTCTAGGAGAGACAACTCCAAAATCAAACAACTGCTGCCTTGTAGTTCGTTCTTAATTGGACAAAGGCTATGGAAGCAAATCCAAAAAGAAAAGCAGGCTGAAATCGGAGTCAACTGCCTAAATGGCACATAACCAGTTGACACTTGTACTAAATTGTGTTAGATTAAAAATGAAGAATCAACTATTGCAATGTTTTAAATTATTAGTTATATCAATTATTGAAAAAAAACTGATTTCTTGCCCACAGGGCTATTTTGGTGCTATGGGATGTCTGCTGGAATATCTGCATCTGAACCTGCCTGGGTGATTGTAGTGCCTATTTATAACAGTTATTTGTCAGTAAAACTTGAAGAAAACATCTATAATTTTTCAATCACTGCCCATAGAGAATTTTTCTTTTTTACCTCATAATGTTTTAAATTTTTAGTGAAATCTGAACAAATATATGTTCGTTAATTTAACATTTTGTTTTATTAAATGCAACATGTTGCTTTGTTCAATGAATTTTTTTAAATCTGCATTTTCAAGAAAATCAATATCTGGTAGAAAAGCAATGATGGTTGTATATAATTTTAAAAAGATCTATATTTTATGGTCTGTTGGTTATGCAGCTGTTGCAGCTGTTGAATTAAATAGATTGTTTTGACAATACATTGTAAACTTAATGGTTTATGTAAATGAGATGTAATGATTAAAATGGATACTATTCACTACCACTGACTTGATAGTATATATTGGTATTCTATATTTACTTCTTCTTTGTAAAGTTATTTTTATTTTTTTTAAATTTGTTTCACCACTTATTTAAATTAATGTTAAACGTTAGTTAAACTTTATTAGTTTCTGTTGTCAGCTCATTTAAAAAGCATGAGTATAGATTTTTGACTGGCATATTGCTGGTGCTGTTTAATGATTTGGCACTTTCCATTGAGTGTCAGAATTGTATTTACCCTATTCTATAGCAGAATAGGCCTGCTCAGATTTTGTATTCCATTCATGAAACACATCTCAATATCAAAAAGGTTTTTTGATTTTGGCATTTGCAAAGATAGTAATTTTTTTATTATCCTATGAATTTAATTCAAACTTATTTAAAAATTATATTTTAAAAACTAATTTTAGAGTATACTTATTATTAACACCCAACTCCCATAAAACAAAAAGTCTTGCATCATTTTTATATTTTATTACGTTAGTAATTTTTACAAAATTGTTGAATTAATTGTTAAAAACCATTGTAAATTTACACATATACTTCACCACAGTTAAACAAATATTTTATATAAGTTTTTATACTTACATATTAGTATTATTATTATTATTATAATTATCTTTGTTATATTATCATACAAATATGCTAATCTTTCTTTGAGCTTTTGAAAAAAAATATTTTTAAAAATAGTTATACTTTATTGCATTGCAAATAATTTTGATTACAAGGTTTGGTGATACAGGTGATCTAAGGTGAAACTAAAATTTCAGAAGTTTTTTCTTTAGATAGATGAGTGAGGCACTAAGGGCTTGCTAAAGGGAGGCAACATATTGTGATTATAAAACACTGTTGTGTATGATAGGAACTGTTGATTTTCATTCACCTTCCCCAAAGACATTGTCATTTAAGGAGGTCACATGTCTAAAAAAATACATGATTTTAAACATGTCGATTAAACCCTTACAAACTGTTTTGTCACCTTGGTGTGTAGGTCTCGATAGAAGAAAATTGCACAACTGGTATGCTACTAATATAAAATAGCTTTACACCATTGTTGCCATTTAAACAACTATTGAGAAGTAACATCTTGCATTTTTTCCAAAAAATAAATAAACCCCTCAAGTTTTTAATTGTAATTCTAGTAATGTAATGTTAAATCATTCATAATCTATATATACCTATTAAGATAAAAACTATTCAGATGATGGGTGTATACTTTATATTTAAATTATAATCTTATTATCCATGTGATTTAACATCTACACGTAACTATAGTTGTTTTCTTTGTTTGGACTCATCTAATGTAACAGTTTTTTAAACATCTCATTGTGATTTGTTGAAATGTTAATGATATTGTATAAGATGTCTAAGGTATATGTATATAAGTAGGGATATTGTGGATGTTATAATTAGCTATTTAAATTATGGTTGCTTATTAAAACAATTCTTGTACTTCTGTAATATTGTTAACATGAACTATTTATTAATATTCTAATTTTTAAAATTAATTTTTGTAAATTTAAATAAAAACTTTAAAAATACATTGCAAATAATCAAAGAGATAAAAGAACAATTTTACTGCATACTTGTTTTGCTTTAAGCATTTCATTACAATCTATAAAAAAAAAGATTTGATTTAAATTGAATAATGCAAGAATATCAGTAGGCTACAATGTTCATTTGATAGTTTAGCAATAGATTAAACTTTACTTAAAAATAATTTGACATTTTTTAGTATTTAAAATTTTATTTAGTATTACAACTTACTAGAATAGTTGGATGTTTATTAAATTTGAGACCAAGTTGATTTGTATTGCCAATGCCATAATAGTGGACCATTTCTCACAACGTCCATTGTATAACACGATAAATTCGATTTATAAAATTAAAACTAAGTAAGAAATAAGTGTATCCCACACACCTTTGCTTACATTTTTAAAGCCCAGCTAACAGTTCACTGAAAGTATAATTATGTTAAGCAAAGTGTAAAAATGTTTTTCTTTTTATGGAGTAATCACAGCAAATTATAAGTAATTAATTCTTAATATAGCTATTTCACTTATTTATTTTACCTAAACCACAATTGTTTTAGCTGTCCATTCTGATACTATCTTGAGGGAATTGATATTCTAGGATTATTGTAATGATAGAGTTCAGTTTGGGCTTTTTGATTTTTAAATTCAAAACTTTAAAATTCCTTATTAATAGAAAGACAGATTCACACTTTTGTAAAAATGTTAAACATTCCACATTTTTTAAAGTTTTAAAATGGAATGACTGTAGAAATTTGAATTTAAAAAAATACTCAAGTAATCAGAACTTGCTTATTTAATACAGGGATGCTGGTTTTTGTACATTTGACTGTTCAGATTTTAAAAAATTGCTATCACTGTCACACCTTGAATTTTTTATTAAGAATATTTTACTTAATGTATTCACTTCATTGAGGTGCAAGTTTTTGGGGCTTGACACTAATACAAAAGTACACATGTGAAAAGTGAAGACCCATCACTTGTGACATATTTCTAATGTCTAGACATTTGAATATTTAAATACAAGCCATTCAAACAACTCCTTATCCTGCTCTAGGGTTTTGGTTGGGTTAGTGTTATAAGTATCAAAAATGCAGATCTTTTCATACAAATTATTAATCATTAATGACATGCCCCATTTTCACCCTCTTCAATACAACTAATAGTACAAGTTTCATCTTTTTGGGTTGCCGGGTTAACTTTTTGATGTGACTTATCTGTACAAGATCCAAGTTTTAATTGTTCTAGTATAAGAATAATTATCTTATGTATTGAAAAAAAAACATGTGACTAAAGATGATTGGAACAAACATTAAATCCTGTATCTTCAAATAAACATGTTAGTTTATTAAAGTATTTATTTCAATAACTTACAAAGGGTGCTGCTGATTGATTTTTATAAAAGTGATGTCTTTAATGTTTTTGCAATATTAAATTATCTTTTAAAAATTATGTTAGATTCTGTTCATGTTCTTTTTATCATTTTATGCCTGCAAGCAACTAAACAAATATTTTGTTTTGGATTTTATCAGCTAGATCTATAGTCAAATACCATTAGATTAATGATTGTGAATAATAGTAATCTTTCCAGCCCTAAAGGTTTTTATGATTTAAAGCAGGGGTCTCCAAACTTTTCAGCCCGAGGGCCGCATTAACTATGAAATTTCAGTTCGAGGGCCAGTTTCTTCCAGGCATTTCTTTGATTTTTCTGGGCAAAGTTCCTCAGCCATCACCAACAAACGTTTTTTCCGTGGACAAAAAGATCTCCGCGGGCCGGATGAGAGGACCTCGCGGGCCGCATCCGGCCCGCGGGCCGTAGTTTGGAGGCCTCTGATTTAAAGTAATGACTCAGCTATGGTTCAAAATGAACCACACACAAATATTTCCTTTAAATCTTATCAGTACCTTGTAATTGCTAAGAGACAAATATCTCAGCCAAAAGACTAATCGGCCATGAAAGTTTATCAAATGTTAGAAAGGTAATAGTACAATCATAATTTTTAATCTTATCTCCCCTTTCATAATTGAAATTAGTAATATTTTAATTAATTACATTTTACTGTCTTATTAAATTAAAAATTGTATATTATTGCATTATCATGGAGACTTAACTGAAAAGTTTGAACAAAATATTGCTATTTTTAGAAGTGGGTCTAAATTGCATTACAGAATTTACCATAAACCCACATAAAAAGACCTACTTAGAGAAAGAAAAGCATGGTCCAAAATAAAGCTCAAAACAAAGCTATCCACTCTGAAATAAGAAAAGACATAAGGAAAATACTAAACTCAAAGAGAAAAGATACTAGTGAACAGAGCCGGCGTTAGGGGGTGGCAAACGGGGCGGCCGCCCTAGGCCCCGTTTGTAAACATAAATAAATTGTTGCTGAATTCAATGGGGAAAAACTAAATGGTATATATATATATATATATATATATATATATATATATATATATATATATATATATATATATATATATAAAGCAGGCCCCGCGCGGATGGTTGGCCCTAGGCCCCGCGTATTCCTAGCGCCGGCTCTGCTAGTGAAGTTGTGAAATTGGCATAATATTCTTAGAATATATTAATTACTAGTATTAGGCTTAATTACTTAAAAGTTATGAATGAATAGTTAAATAACTTAAAAAATAAACACGGACTACGAAAGAAAAAATTTTTAGCAGAGCGTGGTTTCGATCCACGGACCTCTGGGTTATGGGCCCAGCACGCTTCCACTGCGCCACTCTGCTTCCGGTAAACTCTGCAAATATTATTAATATAAATTAGTGTAATTTTAAAAATTGATGAATTCTTATTTAGCTATATGGGGTAAAAAATCCTTTATAGATCTAAAGCTGAGCTCGATAACATTTTTAGAATATATAGAGTCTAAACTAGGCCCAACGGCTAGGTCTATATTACTAGTTCTAGGTCCATTGCTAAATTACTTCATCTTGAAATAAATTTTTCTTTTAAAGTTTAGGCCCTAAAACTAGATTTAGGCCTAAATGGCGGTTGTTTTATCTGGCAACTACGGCGCCAATATATAATCCACCGCATAATTCTAAAACTCTAGATAAATAATATTAAAGATCTATCTAGTGAGTCTAGACCCAACGGAGAAGTAAGTGTAGATTAGTTTATTAGTGGGGAAAAAAATCCCTTAAATCACCTTTTAACTACAGATTTGCATCTTCAGGTTTTAAAGTAAAATTGTAATTAGGCATTTCGTAGTATTAAATTAGTATTATTAGATTCTAGATCTAGACCTAGTCTAGATCTAGATAGATTGATCTAGATCTAGTAACTAGGTCCTAGAGTTAGTAGTTGTTAGATCTAGAATCTAGATTTTTTAGGTTTGCTTGTCGTCCCTCCTGGACCATGGACCAGAGGTAGGCTGCTGACAAGAGCATTCCAGGCGTCTCTGTGTCCTGGGCTAGTCTCTCTAACTGTCCCCAGGTATATCCAATCTTGGTGTCTTCTCGCGGGTCACGTCTCTAGGTCTTTCCGAGGCATGCGTTTAATGGCGTTTATAAATTATTGTATTTTCGGTAATCTATCGTTTTGGGTACGTAAAATCGCCTGCGATTTGTAATGTGAAAAACAGGTGACTCCTTAAATTTTAATAATTATTTCACATTTTGAGGAGGATTTATGTTTTAAAAAATTCAAAAATGTTTCCTTGATTCATTTATGTACCTGTTTTTAAACAGTTGAATTAAAACTTTTCCGTAATAAATGAAGACTAGCGATGTTTCCAACAGATGCAACCATGCTCATTTACTATAGCAGCCATCTTGTCTAAGTTTTATTTTTATAAGCTTTTAGCGCCAGATTCAGGGGGAAGCCACTCTATTTTACAAATGGCTGCTGTTTATATATATTATATAGCAAATCTTGCTCTCAAACATTGCTGTTTAAAGTTAATTTCTGGCCTATATGGATATATTTAGCCATTGATTTAGGTTTATTATTCATTTATCTATAATATTTGACACAAAAGTATGACAATATACTTCTATTAAGGCATTGACAATGAGGTAACGTTTTCGTACATAAATAGCCGCGGGCGATTTTACGTACCCAAAACGATAGATTACCGTATTTTCTTCTTATTTATAGCAGTTATTCTCCGTGTAAAACAGGTTTTACTGTGTGTTGAAGATCCGGATTTTTATTCCGAGGGTTAAATCTCCAGAACCCGAAACATTTTTTAGTTGGTTGAAGACTGCTCTTGCCTTGCCCGTCCTTATTTTTATGTCTGCTTCTGCTTAACAACAATACTTCCGAGGTAGGTGAATCTATCCACTTCTTCTATGGCTTCTTCTGCCAATGTATATTACAGGGTTGCTGTTTGATTTGATGCATTGACTTTGAACATTACTTTTCCCTCTGTGGATGTTCAGGCCCAGGCATGTAGAAAAATTAGCAACACTGTTGGTTTTTATCTTGCATTTGCTGTTGTGTGTGAGAAAGAAGGGCCAGGTCATCCAGCTGGTTCCACAATGTCCTCTGTAGAACTAGATCTATACCGGTTTGCGTTTTCTCTATGGCCAGCAGGAACACAAATGGTGAAAGTGAACATACTACATACATACTACATACCCATTACATACATTCTAGTATAATCTAGACTTGAGCAACGGCAACATCTCTTGTTCAAAATTTAGTTGATCTAAATTCTATCCCTGCCTGGACTCAGTGGTAGACATGATGATGATGTAGATTGTAGAATATAGAAATTCTAGAATAGGTCTAAAATAGACAAGTAATATAAAGATGGATAGCTCCAGTAATCTAGATTATACTAGAATCTAGATTGACATCAGTACAATGCATGCAGTAAATCTAGCTAGATCTAGAATAATCTACTAGAATTCTAGATTCTCTAGATCTAATTCTAAACAAAAAGTAAAATAGTTTAGTTAATAGTTAGTCGATCTAGAATCTAGATTAGTCTAGAATCTATTCGAGGGTCTAACTCAAATTAAACTCTAATCATATAGATCTAGAATCTAGGCTAGTTAGTAGAATAAGTAGAACAAAGAAAGTATAGAAGACTGACATAACTACATTTCTAAAAAACTAAAAGTAAAAATTTTGGTAACCTATTATATTTCTCCTTACAAAGAAGTAAGGTTAACCTTAACATGCTATCCATGTTTTTCTTTTCTGAATGAAATTGAATATTATCTTATTTTGATTCCTCAGAATGGACAGTATTCCCTTAGAAATGGATGACATTTTTGCAGAATATGAAGACGAAGATGATATTAATCCCACAAGACTGCCTGATCTTGAGGATGATGTAGAACCAATGAGAAACAGTGATGGTGCTGGTAGTGGGCAGGAAGGTAATGACTAGATTGTAATGACCTCTTTATTTCGCTGCAGTGATTATAAGACGTAGATAGCTTCTGGCAATGTAAAGCTTGTAATTAGATTGGCAAACTAGTAAAATAAAACTTAGTTTAAATTGCTATTCCCTAATGTTTATTTATCAAATGACATCAAAATTTTGATCGTGTAGTTCAGGGGTCTCCAAACTACGGCCCAAACTGAAGTCCTCTCATCCGGCCCGCTGAGATCTTTTTGTCCATGGAAAAAACGTTTGTTGATGATGGCTGAGGAACTGCCCAGAAAAATCAAAGATATGCCTGGAAGAAACTGGCCCCCTAACTGAAATTTTACAGTTAATGCGGCCCTCGGACTGAAAAGTTTGGAGACCCCTGGTGTAGTTTGTTGAACTGAAAAGTTATGCATTTAAAAAAAAAATTCCTTTCAGAAAATGAAGAACTGTTGGCAAAACTCAAAAGTATGAAAGGGGCTTCCAAATCTACTGTTAAAAAACCTCAACCCAAATTGGATGGATCTAGGTAAAAGAAATACCTTTGTTTGTTTCTACACTAAAATAACAATTATTTGAATAATCGAACTATTGAAACCTTTTCTGTCTTCAGATTAACCGGTGAACGTGGCATTCCCATTCTTCCAAAGGTTTTTAAAAATGTTAAACTGAAAGGTGCAAATCATGAGGTATTATTTTCAAAACGAATATTACATGACATAAAAAATAACTTGCATGGTTATCTTGTTTTTAACATACTTATCAAGAAAATATTTGTTTAATTTCTTATTAAGTAATAAATTTTATGCTTAGGCTGAGGATCTCAGAGTCATTATGCGACACCTTGAACATTGGGGACATAGATTGTTTCCAAAGATGACATTTGACGAAGTGCTTGACAGAGTAGAGAGACTAGGCTCTAAAAAAGAAGTTCAGGTTTTGAACATTTCATTTAATTTTTTTGCAAATTTTCATTATGTTTAGCTCTTTGAAAATAATTTTCCATTTTTAGAAAAAGAAAAATGTAAGTAAATTTTGTTGTGTACTAAAATAGCAAATGCTCTTAATTACTTAACCATTATGTTGTATTGTCTTTTCTTTTGCCTTTTTTAGAGTTGTGTAAAACGAATTAGGCTTGATATGAATGTGTTACCTGGTGATGAAGTTGAAGAGGAAGATAATGTTCAAAGGGGCACACAAGTGGAGGCAACAGATGATGCAGTTATTAGAACTTCAAATGCTTCATTTGAAGTAAGTTCTTTACCTGAAACCTATTTTGATTAGGTCAATTTCTATTGGACTGTGGCATATTTTCTTTCATCGTAATAAGAAAGTATAAGTGACATGTCTGGTTTTAATTTTTAACTATTTTGTTTTCTTAGTCAATTTTCCTCAAATGGTCATTCATAATCTTTAAACTAATAGTTTTTATTAACATTTGTATAGAGCAGGGGTCGGCAACCTTTTGAAGCTGAAGAGCCAAAAGTTACAATTTTCAAAATTTCCCTGGTTATAAAGAGCCACTAACATTTTTTTTATTTTAAATATTTTATTTTTTTATTAAGATTATTAGTATTTGTTCAAAGAGCTGGAGAGCCGCATCTTGATATCAAAAGAGCCGCATGCGGCTCGCGAGCCGCAGGTTGCCGACCCCTGGTATAGAGAATAATTTATTGAATAGAAAACCACATTAATTCAAATCTACAATTATCTCTAAATAATTAAACTACTTCAGATAGATGAAGAAGAGATAGAAGCACTTATCAGAGATCAGGAGCAACCAGTGTCTGATAGGACACACGATTGGGCAGCCACACTTCCTGTATCAGCTACACAACAAACTCCAGCTCAAAAAGAAGTGAGTCTAATTCATAGTCTAAGATGTGTTGTTAAGTTTTAAAGTTAAATGTGTATCATGTGAAAGATGTCATTTTCTTTACTAAAAATGGTAAAATTCTATTTTTAACCATTAATGTCCCATTCATTCTACCAAAACTCCACCCATGACGGCCCAATGTAAGGAGCATAACTCTGTATGATCAAGTGAATAGTTTCACAAAATATTTGTTTTTGTCTAAATAAAATTGAAAATTAAGATAAAAACTACTGCTTAATGTTGGGAATAAACCTGGCTTTCCAACAGTATTAAATAGAATATATTATATTCGGTAAAAGTACAGTAAAAAAATAAAAAATGTCGGAGAAAATTCAAAACAGGTCATTTTCGGTAGTCAACTTTATTTATTTTTGTCTAAACAACTAAGCATCGAATTTAACAGTTAAATATCAATTTGGTTATGTTTAAGATAAATAATTCATAAAATACATGCCTAGATACGTTTAGAGGCATTATTTTATTTTATTTTTAATATTAAATCTACTAAAAAAAGGACAGATGAGTCTAAAATTTCGAGATCGAAAGAAGCTATTATTTTTTATCTTTCAAAAGCGCCATTGAAATTATAAGACCGGAAAAGGACGCTGAAACCATCCGACTTCCTGTTTAGTTAAAAATTAGGATTTGTAGGCCAAATTTTAATGAAACAAATTTAATTTTTCTATGCGTATTTTAAGCGGGTGGCAGCGGGCGTTACGGGACATTAACGGTGTCGGGCGGCAGCGGGCTTTACGGGACATTAATGGTTAAAAATGTTATTAGTCTAGATTGTGCAATATATTACTATCATTTGTTAAAGAAAACGTAATCTGTTTCTTTTATATTCCTAGACTCTCTCAGATGAGGTCAAGGCAAGAATAGAAAGAAATAAACAATTAGCACTAGAAAGGCGTGCTGCAAAAGCCAGTTTAAGCTCAATAGCAGGTATGGTTAATGTATTATCAGTTCCTGATAGATACATTCTGACACTTACTCTTGTGATATTAGTAATTGTTAGTTACCTAGTTAAATTCCTTTTTTTTTACACGTCCTAATGCTCTCATTTACAGATAGCACAGACAAAGAATCTTCTCAAAATAAAGGACACAATGAACAGACAGAACCAATTACATCAGTTGTGGAAAATAATTTATCAAATTCCCACAACGTTTATAAAGAACCACAAGATCAAGACACCATAGGTGAATAATATGTACAGGACTTCAATTATTCTACAACTTAAAATACTGTCTTAATAATTAAGTTTTTTTACCTGGATTTGTTATAAAGACTTGCGTATTGGCATCACCTCTAGAACGGTTCTCATGGAAAATTACACTTTCTTAATGGGTTTGATAATTTAATGTTAAATTTGAATTCTTAATGTTCTAAATTAAAAGTATTATGTCACGGCCTTTTCTGCTGCCAATCATGGCACAAACTCAAAAAAACAAATACCAACCGCTCTCCTCCTTTGTTATTACATATTATAGTCTGATTTATAACATTAAACAACCCACGTTCAGGAAATTTTCATGATTTTATTGGTTCATTGATACAACAACTTCACTGCCAAAACATCGCCATTTTCTTCCCGCTCTCTATCTCCTTGCTTCCTTTTTTTAGCGCATGCGCACACCCACACTATATTTTAGATTTATATCGACTTTTTATGAAACATACTCAAAACATGCATTCACCTTACATTTGACTGTTACATATTGGTATTTATCATATCTCTTACGATTGTGGATATTCCTTAGTATCAGGGGAAAAAGTCTGACCTCTGTACAAATTAGCTATCACTTAGATAAATTTAAGTTTTATATTACAGCAGCAAATCATGTGTAGTATAACTGTCATATTGTAAATCTGCTATCTGATAGAGACACTGACCACCCTTTAATGTTCTTAACTTTCTTTCTTGTAAATAGCTGAACACATCCTTGTCTACTAAAGTCAGCACTTTATCGAATAAAATAAACTCTTTTAAATTTTCCACTGTTAATACTCCTGATGCATCAAACCACTAATCAAGACTTATCTTCACCCTTATACTTTTAAGATTTTGTCCTAGTTTATTTTCCTCACTTCCTTTTCCTAGTGTCTGATCTATTTCATATAAATCAACAATTTTCTACAACACTTCTATACCAGTACTGAAATCTAGATCCATGTTAAACAATCCTTATATAATACTAGCAGAGCACCAGCTTTGCATTGGTGTAGATATTTCTCCATTGCCGCCCATAATGTCCCTAGATCGTCCTAATCTCTTGCACCCTATCTACCGTTACACTTTTTCCCACCCTCTAGAAATGATTTCCCGTTAAATTCATTGCCTTTATCTTGCAATCTCTTCCCCATTCTTTTCTGTACATGTCCTCAGCACTCTAATTTTGTTACTTGTTTTCCTAAATAGGAGGGTAAGCACCAGCAACCTTCTTGTAGCTCTTTGAATCCATATCCTGTGTATGATATTTATTTGTTTTGAATTCCTGAATTCCACAAGGCTCCATCTGGCCTGACGCTCCATCGTGATTCTTTTCACACTGTTTCATGAGCTTCAATAAAAACTTAACTTTTTCTCCGACTTTGGCACAAGCATCACAGTAGTTGTTACTGACATGAGTGTCAATGACTTTGACCGGTCCTTTGTTTGGGTTGATGCTAAGGACTGTCGTCACTCTTCATTCTTTGAAGTAAAACCACTCCGTTGCCAAGTACCATTGTATGAGGCAGACACATCTTAGCCCTGAGAAGTTTTTAGTTCTCTTGCCGCCTCTGTCATACACTTTGCAGCTACAGTTTTAGTGGCAGTATGTATTCTATCCTTGAATATACTGCTTCGTGTGACACTTATAGTCATACACTTAACAGCTACAGTTTTAGTGGCATTATGTATTCTATCCTTGAATATATTGCTTTGTGTAACACTTACAGTCGATAACATGTCCATGTTACCAAGCAGCTTCTTGGTCTTTTCTTGGTGACATCTGATACTGAATATTGACAGCTGTAGTCATGTAGATTTGAAACCCAGATTGACATCTGGCTTAATTAAAACAATACACAGGTATTATATGCCTCCTTTGACATAAACAAGGCTACATACACCTTTTTCATGTGGGTCATCTTCTTTGCCTAGTTAGAGCAGTGTTTCTCCTTCTGGATCAGTTAATGGTCATAACATCCCTCCCCCCCCCCCCCTCCCCTTCAGTGTGTGGCAGGCATTGAGTCTCTTACACCAACCAGGGTGAGCAACTGTTGGCTCATCATGTTGTCGGATATGTTTTCAGTCTTCGCAATAGTTTCAAACCGTCAAATTAAGGCATCTATATCATCTCTGTTGTCTTCAAATTTAAGCATTCTATACAACATGCTTCTTGACTGAATTGTTGTTGTTGGTATTGTATTCTGCTATGATGGTGTATTTTGGACTCTGATTTCCAAAACGTTTTACTTAAATTTCTTTATCTCCATTCTAGCCAATTCTAACTTGTGTTTTCTTTTTCCTTTTCCATCTCTAATTTTGCTTTCTCAACTTCTATTTTAATAGTCTTTTGGTGTTTCTTTATTAACTTTATGCTTATCTTCCACCCACGCTTTTAGTTCAGCACAGCTTTTTTCTAATGACTAGCCCAGTTGAGTTGAGCCTGGTCCGCCATGTGAGTTTGTTAAGTTTATAATAAAGAGGGACAGTAACAGTAAAATGTACGAGACAAGCGATAACGGTACAGTAGAAGTTAGTTGACACAATAACTACAACAATAAAACAATGACCTAGAGTTACACTGAGAGCGCTAAAACAAACCGAACGTGCTACTTCTTAAATAGCAGGCCTACACCCAAAGTGTCCTATATTTAGGAAGCCATTTTAAAACAAACTTATAAAAGGAAATCACTTATAGATTAAAGTCACAGACAAATACAATACAACAAAGAAAAGACTGGTGTAATATCCAGCACAGTATCTAAAAATCCCTGTTATTTAAATAAAATTAGAGGAAGGTACGTATCTCTTCTTCCTTTTTGATGCAGTTGAAGCACTTCACATCAGTCACTGTATCTTCAATATCCAATCGTGAATTCACCATTAATTTATATTCTGCATGAACTAAGACCCTTTGTGCTCCACCAATATGTTGTGGGGAGGATGAGTCAATTAATTTCCAATAAATTAGGATGGTATCCCATATTGGACTGGAAACTTCTGTGCCAACCTTCAACTGAGTTTGTTTTTGACATATGGTCTTCTGCACACATGTGCATGTTTTACGTGTTAAGTGAAATCATGTTGTCTCAGGTCTCAACATTGTGGTCTGCCTTTATAGTGGTCCTAGTAAGTCAACATTTTGTGTTGCTTCTAGGGGAAAATTTCAGATAATTTCATAACTAATTATTTCAGTTGGCACATAACCCATAGCAGGCAGTGTTCTTAGTTTGAAATCAAATACACTATCAAGTTGGTAATGCTGTTGAAGGTCTGAGTCCTATATTTTTCCGCATATCTTTTGGCTAAGATAAAAAAAAAAGCCTAAAATAACTTTAGATTGTCCTTAGTTCCAAATAAAAACATCCTACCTTTTGACTCAGCACCAGAATCAAACAAAAGAAATTGTTGTCCATCTTGTGTCACTTTATATTAATCAGGAATAATGTCAGCAACATTCTTTGGGTCAGACAGGAAATGTTTTAATGTTTGATGCTGACGCCTGATGGTTCGAAATGTGTGGAACTGAGGGCAGCTTGGCTTTAGCATCTCCGCTAATCATAATGTACTAGGTGATGATTTGCTGGGCAGTTACATAATTTTCTTCTGTCAATCTTCTCATCTGATGCACTGCTTCGCTCTTCTAGTTGAGATGGATCTTGTCCATGTGTGTTCATTATAACGCCCAATAATCTGTTTATTATGAAACCTTATCTTAGCTTTGCATTCCATCTTGCTCAGTCTTTTCGCACACTCAAATGACACAGCCCTCAATTTTTTTTGCATTACTAAACATAGCCTTCCTAAATCACCTTGAAATTGCCTCTTTTAAAATTAACGAACTCCATTCCAGAAATTACAGGGGTGCCACCCATTTTTTTGGCTGTTCACTTGTATATCACATTATGGTTAGAAAATGGATGAGGTATCAGAGGTTAGTGGATTTGACTTGGTCTTGTGGTGGGTTTCTTGGATATTAACTGGCAGCTGAAGGATGATATAAAATACCACATTTGCCCAGCACTAGTTTTGCCTCCTGACAAGCTTTCATTATGTCCTCTCAAGTTGACCACCCTTTCGTACACTGTCCTTGTTTCCTGGTCCACATTCTCCTTAAACAGCACCATCTTGATTATTTTCATTGGGCCTTGTGGGTTGGCGCCATACACCAGTTCAAACGGTGAAAACCCTGTACTGTAGTGAGGAATCTCTCTGTAAGCGAACAGCACACAGGGCAGCATTATGTCCAAGTTCTCAGGGCGCTCATTCTTTATTTGTGTCAACATGCTTTTCAGAGTGCCGTTCAATCTTTCATATACACCGTTACTTTGTGGGTGGTATGGTGTTGTAAATGCCTGCTTGATGCCCAATATGCCAGCAATTTATCTGCTAGACACTGGTGGTCTCTTGTGGACTAATGTGTAGGTGTCCGCCGACTCTGCAGCTTTCTTGATGTCTGTTATCCTTGAGTCTAGGATATGCAGAAGTGAGTTATTTAATTTCCAATATGTTTTCCTATCGTTAGTCTGTTGATTTTTGTTAAATGATACGAGTACTGCTGCGTGATCACTGAACTGTAGTGTATGAAAAACATGCTGTACTTTGTGGGTTTTCATTTCTTGCGGTACATAAATTCTGTCTAATCTAGCTTTTGTGTTATGTCTTTTGTTTGTATGGGTGAATTGGATTTTTCCTGGGTGGTGTGCCCTAAATGTGTCTATTAAGTTGAAGTGGCTTTTTATGTTGTTTATGATGTCTGTTAGGTTTGTCTTTTGTCATACGGCTGGTCTGTCCATTTCCCGGTCCTGTAGTGTCCCGTCTGTCCTCTATGTTGTTGAAGTCACCTACCAGTATGATATTTTGTTGTCTGTAGTTTGTCAGTATTTTTTCCAGGTCTGTAAAGAAGGGTTCGTCTCTTGTGCTGCTGTTTGGTCAGTGTATGTTTACTATTGATATTTCTGTGTTTCGTTGTGTGAGTGTTACTATGTTTAGTTTTCCTTTTCTATCTGTGTAGGTGTCTGTTATGCTTAGGCTGTGGTGTGCTTGTATTGTTCCTAATCTGCGTGTGTATTTGTCTGCTTGATATAGGTTTTGGAAATTTGTTTCTTGTAGTGTTAGAATGTCTATGTTGTATGTGTACTTTTCCTTGTTGTGTGTGCCTTGTATGTTTAGTGTAAGTAGTGTTATTGTTTCCATAAGGTTGAGTTTGGCCTCGGATGTCTCACCTGTTTTGGTTTGTTTGTGTTTGTCGGGGCTGTTGGTTTCTTCATTACTCCTTTTTGTTGATGATCTTTCTTGATAGGTAAATCTTTTGTGCCCATGGTCGCTTTGGTATTGGTTTCTTTCGCTGTGGTCGTCGCTGGCCTGGTTGTTTCTCTTCTTTGGCGTTTCTTTTCTTTGTTTTTCTTTTTCTTGCTGATTGCTTGCTCCCACGGT